TTTGTTTAATTTTTAATTGTAGTGTGTCAGTAAGAGCTGGTATGTTTTGTTTTTACTGCTACCCTTACGTGTATAAAACATTAATGTGTGATTGAGAAAGTTCTTTATGCGGTTGAGCTGGGTTGTTTTCTTTTGTTACTGTGAAATTTTTATTTTGTGTGAATGAAATATTACGCTGAGTGATCAGGTGAACGACGTAAAGCGTTCAGAGCTTATATATATACTCGTATGAGATAGAGCGCTACGTAAATGTTATCTATTATTTTATTAGTGTTTGTTGTTGTTGTTGTTGTTGTTATTATCATTTTTATTTTTTTTATTTTTTAAAAATTATTGTCATTACTTTCATTATTATTATTATTATTATTATTATTATTATTATTATTATTATTATTATTATTATCAGTATTAGTTTGGGTGTTGTTAGCTAAACGTTAGTACCTCGTTCATTACCGTTTTAGGCTCTTATGAGGTTTGGACTTGGCCGTCCATTCGGAAATCACTTGACCTTCTATGACTTTCACAGCATACACTATCAGATATCATTGAGTTACAATCAGAATATAGGTGCGTATCTAGCTTAACACTATTAGTCTTTACAGTTACTGTTCATTTATGCAGTGGAACTCGGTTTCTCCAGGTTTTTTTGTTTATAAAAAAAAATTAAAAACCTGGATTCAACGAACTCAAAAATGAGCAAGCTCGGATTCAACGATGTCGCTTGCATAATGAACAGCCCCCGCTGACGCTGCTTCGCTCATCCCCCCCCCCCCCCCCACAATGACCCTCATCTATTCCTGGAAACTATCCACTGCATCTGCATAGTGAAATAGTGAACCATTATTCGCTTCGTCTATTGTTTATATGTCTTTTGCGACTAATCAGCGGTCTTCTTTCATACTAGAACATACGTTGTTAGCACGCACACATACATCTCATAGCGTGTGTCGCGGTCGGACGGCCGGCCAGCACACATGTGACTGTGTGTGTGTGTGTGTGTGTGTGTGTGTGTGTGTGTGTGTGTGTGTGCGTGTGTGTGTGTGTGTGTGTGTGTGTGTGTGTGTGTGTGTGTGCGTGTGTGTGTGTGTGTGTGTGTGTGTGTGTGTGTGTGTGTGTGAGTCTGAGGGAGGGGCACAAGCCGTCCGGGCGTGGACACGTCAGTAAAGATACCAACGCGTCATAGTTATTTTCCACCGGCAACTGATCAACGACAGAACGATAAGCTAGTCTTGACATACATCTACGTAATGAATTGCGCTCTGGACTGGGGTGGAACCAATGTTGCCATTTGCTAGGCTCTACACAGCAGCATAACTTGTTTAGCAAAGTATCTTATAGATGATAAAGGACCCAGGCGTGCATTTGAATGGATTTGCCCTTTTGCAAAGTGTGTGTTTGGTAGAGTTTGTTGTATTTTCCTGAAATTATTGTCCAGCATTTCCTCGATATGGCATCACAGCAACGAAAATGTCTCTCATTTGAAACCAAACAACGCAGAGGCGAAGGCTGACTTGTTTGACAGGGTAATCAAAGTGAGATGGAACCAGATAGGGCCTGGAGATACATGTATCACACTCACACAAGTCACAAGAATCTTACTGGAGGCGGCAACTCTTAGTTGTGAATGAAAACAAATCCTGAATCCATGTTGTATGCATATTCAACCGCTAAAATAATCGGGAAAGTATTTCATTAAATATTTATTCTAACTAACCTTGAATTTAACTTTAGATTTGAATACACGAACACCAAGGAAAAAAGCAGAGATGTCAGTACTACAATGGCAGTTTATGCCTGACAGTCTAAACACTTTGGCAGAGCATGCCAATTATTAATTTTTTATTTCACATTTGGCTGTTTTTGTCTATCTTTTCGCGGCCAGGAGCCGCTGTCATAATCGTGGTCACGATCTGATTATAGGACGTTAAAAAGTCGAGGGAAAAAAACAAGCACTCGCAGAAGTCAAGATATTATTAGGAGTTAGTTCCACTCACATCTTTCAGGTAGACTCGACTAGTGAAATAGTTTGCTTACATAATCAGCGCGTGTGGCTGCTTATAACTGTGGCTCGAAAGGGGTGAACAGGGTATATGTGGCAATGAAACAGTTTTGACTACCATGCACATGTTCCCTTCAACTCTATTGGTAGACTCTTCCAGCCTCACTTTAAGCTTACTTAATCAAAGCTTGTGACTGCATATGGAGTGGCCCGATAGGGGCGAACAGGCTATTTCTGTGGCAATGAAACGATTTTGAAGGTTAGGCATAGTCTATTGTTCATTGGGGATTATGAACGTCTTTTTTCATTTAATTTATGTGTTTTTACGTCTATGGGTGAATTTGACTGCGACAATGTTTCAAAATTGGGAAGGGAAGCAGTGATTATTTGATTATATAGACCCTTCGCCACTGACAACGTTTGATTGAGAAAGTCGCATACAGTATACATTACTTGCTTGGTGCCTGTAATTTATTCCACACTTCTCAAAAGAGGAATTTGTATGATGGGACGACACTTTTTCAGCCAAAAAATGACTAAAGAAATAATAATTTCATTGAAAGCTGGACCAAAGTGCACAAGTTATCGAATTTAATAATCTGAATGTTTTTTAAAACTATTTTTTTTTGTGGTGAAAAAAGGTGAGGTACATGTATAGGTTTTACGCCCCTATCACCACTATGTGATTACTAACTTTAAGAGGCGGGAGTTCCGAGTTTAACGTCCATCTCCGAAAAGACCAAACCAAATAGGAAATTCGTGTAAAGTGCCTTTTCCAAGGACAAAACGTCGGACCGAGCTGAGGCTCGAATTCCCCCGAACTCGCAATCTCACAATTACAGGTCTTGTAACCTAACCACTACGCCTCCGGCGCTCATTGTTTGTGTTGTGCGTGTGTGTGTTTAAGTCTGTGTGTGTGCACGTGTGTGTGTGTGTGTGTGTGTGTGTGTGTGTGTATGTGTGTGTGTGTGTGTGTGTGAGAGAGAGAGAGAGAGAGAGAGAGAGAGAGAGAGAGAGAGAGAGAGAGAGAGAGAGAGTGTGTGTGTTTTTATTTCGTTACATTACATCATAATAATTAAAGTCCAACTGCCTTTTCTTCCTTGATTTTTCCCCCCTTCTTCTTTTGGACGGCACCCATTCATAAGCAATGAACAGAATAAAGGACATGTTTGGTTTGGTAAAAGTTTACGGCGCTCGTAACTAACTGCATAAGACCACATGATGAGCACGCTGGGGGACATCAAATGTATTAATTGCTTTTATTTCTTACTTCTACTTTACGCAGACAGCACTTGCAACTTGCGTTGCGCTTGGCGACCCCCTCCCAGACAACATAACCTTCACCTTGAACTACAAGAAGGCCTGGCAGAACAGGCGACAGGCCAGCAGTGTACACAGAACGCCAGACCGGCTCATTGCCTCGAAAATTGTCCCCATCTCTCCGGACACCGGGGCTCTGAGAACTGTGGTCTGTGTCAGCGAAACCCAGACGGCAAGCGCTCCTTCTTATACCATGGACGTGCAGAGATATTGAATTTGGAGGCATGGTGACTGTCACAACGACAACGATGACAGCAACAACAACAGCAATAACAAAAACAGCAACAATAACTGCAACAACAACAACAGCAATAACTACAATAGCAACAATAACTACAAAAACAACAACAGCAATATAAAAGAAATAACAACAACAGCAACAACAACAGCAATAACAACGTCAGCTACAACACCAAACAGCAGCAAGGAGAACAATCATAACTATAACACCAGCAGATCAGTAACAAATACAACAATGCTGGGACCAACAGCAGCAGCAGCAGTTAAATCAGTTATTACAACGAAGATGAAAACAATAATTATGGCTAGCGTTGATATATATACTTGTACATATTATATGTGTGTGATATATATATATATATATATATATATATATATATATATATATATATATATATATATATGAAATTTGTACTGGGACCAAAACGCTGCTGTACGAATTAATGGAGAATACAGTGAATATAAGCAGATTAGGCGAGGAGTGAGGCAAGGATGTGTTATGTCACCAGACCTCTTTAACATGTACAGTGAAACAATCCTTAGAAACATAGAAGAATGTCCAGGCCTCACAGTTAATGGAGAAAATATTAATTACATCAGGTATGCAGATGACACGGTTTTAATAGCAGGCTCCGAAAAGGACCTTCAAATGCTTCTAGATACTGTTGTAAAAGAAAGTGAACATAAAGGATTATTGTTGAATGTAAAGAAAGCAGAATGCATGGTAATATCCAAAAAAGCAGCAAATCCTAGTTGTAATCTCATTAGCAAAGGTGAAAAGATCAAACAAGTCCAACAGTTTTAATATTTAGGATATATGATAACATCTGATGCCAAATCCTCGGCAGAAATAAAAAGGAGAACTGCAATGGCTAAGGCTAGTTTCAATAAAAATGAGCCCAATCCTGAAAAATAGAAACATATCAATGAACACCAAAATGAAAGTCCTAAAATGCTGTTTGGTCAACCCTTCTATATGGCTGTGAATGCCGGACAATCACTAAAGACAGTGAAAATAAAATAGAGGCAACAGAAATGTGGTTTCTTAGGAGACTGCTAGGAGTATCGTGGAAGGAAAAGAAATCAAGTGAGGTAGTGCTTGATGAAGCCCACGTGGGACGCTCAATGTTAAAAACAATCAGGAAACGACAAATGCAGTTTTTGGGACACCTGAATAGACATAAGGGTCTTGAACATCTAGCTCTCACTGGCAAAATTGAGGGCAAGCAAGGCAGGGGTAGGCCCAGAACAACATACTTAGGGAACCTAAACAAATGGGTAACAGGGAAAAATCAGGGAAACGTAGCTTTTCTGAGAGCATCCGAGCAAAGGAATGAATGGAAAATCATGATCGCCGATGTCTGTCGCAGATCTGGCACTGGATGATGATGATGATATATATATATATATATATATATATATATATATATATATATATATATATATATATATATATATATATATATATATATATATATATATATATATATA